CGTGTGTGTGTAAAGAGAGAGACTGTGTTTCAAATCGTTATACATATATATGACATTTGTCATTTACCCCCAGGATGCGTGGATTCCTAGGTGTGCAAGGCAGAGCTTAGAAGGCAAGCACCATACTTCAAGTATCACTTGGGGGTGGGGTGCAATAGGAATAAAAATTAAAGTAAGTTGTTTATTTTTTATTTAGTGAGTGAACACAGGCCTGCCCTAGGTGTGAGCACAGACCCAGCCCTAGGTGTGAGGCAAGGCTAGCAATAAGCAGCATCACCACGTAAACACAAAAATGAAGGGGGCAGAGGTCAGACGCCACAACAGTGGCCTTAACGTTACGTAAGAAACATGCTCTGCATCATCCAGAGAAGGGGCGTTTTACCAACCTGTTCACTCGCTCTGCAGAGTGTGACCACAGAGCGTGTCACTATAAAAGAGAGGCGGAAGAGCGTCAACGCACACCCAAACGCTGACTGGGGGGCTGTCCCACCCTGTGTCACAGCTTGGCCATCTAGAACTGCCCCCCCCCCGGCTCTGACAGGCTCCCTTCCCATGGACCAGCCTTGTGCACATCTGGAACTGCCCCCCTCCCCTCGCTCTGACAGGCTCCCTTCCCATGGACCAGCCATCTGGAACTGCCCCCCCTTCCCCCCTCTGACAGGCTCCCTTCCCATGGACCAGCCTTGTGCACAACAGGTATGCACGTTTCTTCTCTCGTCCTAAAGCTTAACACAAGTGGGAGGGGATTTCCCCAGATTGAAAGTGTGTGCTCTTAAAGACCCTCAGGCCCTCCTGGGTTTCTCTCCCTGCGCCTTCCCAGAAGGGTAGGCTCCTGTGAGTGCTGCTCTTCTGACAGGGAGGCAGCTGGAAAGGGGAAGCACCAGCAAACTCAGAAAGAGCGAGTTATCAGAGCCTGGTGTGTATTTCCAAATAGTGCACTGTGTTTATTCTGATGGTTCCTGAGAGACTGTCAGCTCAGCAGCACAGGGCGTGACCAGTGGCTCACGTTAAGAAAACCAGCTTCGCTCACCACGCGCTACCCCATTCAGCTAGCTTCTGTGCTAGCCTTTGTAAAAACACAGCTTCCCACATAGAGGAAGCACAGTTGTTAGCTCATGGCAGTGACCGAGGCCCTGGAATCGCCGTGTCTTCGCTCCAGGGTAGACGCAGTAAACTTGTATCTAATTGTCACTAGCCAATTCTGACAATCTACGTGCCTGTGACAGAGCCACTAAGGCCTCTGAGTGCAACCATCCAGAGAGGCAACTCCCCAGTGTCACTCCAGGAGCCAGTCGCCTTTGGTGGACTGAGGTCAGAAACCTGAGTCAATCCTTCCGAGCGTGGTGTGTCGGGAGACTTCACACCCACCAAAGGCTCCATTCCTTGGGGACACTGGGTCAGAGACATCGGCCCTGCAACACCACCTCTGAAGGAGATTTGGCCTTCTGCCCAGGTCCTGCTTGCCCTTGGCCAGGTTCCCTGGGACCAGCCAGTGGTGATTTTTCGGGTTCCAGATGCACCAGGAATCGACCCATTCAGGTGGGGCAGAGTGCCTGTGTGCCTGTCTCCAGTCGGAGTGGGAACAGAATGGTGGAAAGGCAAGAGCGGGTCACCAGGACTACCCCATCCATCAGATAGCGTCCCCAGAGCAAGAGCTCATTTCCACACAGATTCCAGGACCAGTGCCACCATGACGGGTGTGAAAGACGTGGGTTGCGATTCCCGCCACATCCAAATCAAACTGCCTATGGGTCTGCTTAGAGTTCAGCCTTAAGAACAGCCCCGGCCACCTCAACTGAAGCAAGCGGTGGCCCTAAGCGCACTGCCACACCCCACTTCAGCTGCGCCACCTCAGCCACCTCCCGTCACCTGCTGCTCGAGCCGGTATCTGCCACCGACTCCATCACGCTTAGTAAAGGGGTGGTGGAGGCTTCCTGCCAGGGAAGTCCCTGGGCATTGAGGTCAGGACATTCCCTCTAAGGTAATGGATACAGGCTGTGGCGTCTAGCCTCTCCTAAACCAAAATAAGAAGTGCGGTTCTCTGTGAGCCTCTGGATGTTAGGAAGCACCGTTCCCACCTAGGTGTGCTCCTACAGCCAGAGAGCTCCAGAGCACCTGGCTTGGAGTGCGGTCCGGAAGAGGCAGCTGTGCAATGGATCCAGGCCCTGCTCACGGCGCTCTGCCACGCGGCTCTAAGATCCAGCACATCCCGTGTGCGTGAATGCGCTCCTCCGGCAGGCCACAACAGGCGGATCACAACAGATGTCCCTGAAATTTCAGGTGCAAGGGCTGAGGCGATGGTCAGGGAGGAGACTCATCCACAGGAGCGTAAGGCCTCAGAACACTCAAAGCGCTGTCTCCAGCATGGGGAAGAGAGAGGGGGAGTTGGGTGGCAAGCAAGCCTAGTCCACGTGATTCCAACCGTGGAAAGATCCTGTCCAAAAAGCCAAGGTGATCCTCTGGCTTCCACACATATGTGTGCACATCCAAAGTGAGAGACCGAGACAGAGAGATAGGGAGAGAGACAGAGACAGACAGACAAAGAGGAGGGAGGGAGGGAGGGAGGAAAGGAGGGAGGGAGGAAAGGAGGGAGGGAGGAAAGGAGGAAGGAAGATATTCAGGAAACCATCCCTTAAGAACTGGCTCGTTGTCTCTTAGACTGGAGTAGGTCTGAGCCACCGTCTTGGCTCGTTCTCCATGCTCAGGGTTCTGTGTCGCTCGGTGAACGAGGCCTGAGCTGGGACTGCGCCTCTCACGGTTTTCACGTTGAACGAGGGAAGGTGAATGGATGAGTGCAGACCCTGCAGACACTAGCATTGAAAAGTGGCTCAACTTCCCATGATGCTCCTCCACTGCTCCCTTCCCTGTCCACAGCAGACACTGGGCAGCATGGGGCTCTGGAGGAGTCTGTTTCCAGGTGCGTGGGTGTGCAGGCCCTGCCCCACAGTGGTCAGCCGCAGCTCTGCAGCCCTATCCCCTGCAGAACTTGACAGGTTTGCCTGGCGACAGCACGGCTGGCCTGGAGGACGCTCGGAAGGTCATCTGTGCACAGAGCCTTTCACCACAGCCACACTGCTCTACTGCTCACTCAGCCGCTCTCCCAACCGGGCTAACAGGGAAGTCTCCTTTGTCTGTGTCTCTGCTTACGGATCTCCACATCTGAGTTACACGGACTTGGCTCCCTGGACGCCAGATTTGACTTTACCTTGTTGCCTTGCATGTGGTCAGGCCTCAACAACACACAGACTACATATACACGTTCAGCACATGCATTTAGTCAACTGTATTGAAACGAGGGCTAGAGAGATTAGGACACTGCTGCTCTTCCGGAGGACCTGAGTTCGATTCCCGCTCACAACTGTCTAACTCTAGTTTCAGCAAATCCAGTGTCCTCTCTGTCCTCTGAGGATACCAGGTACACGTGGCATATGTTTTACGTGATGTTTCTATCATAAACTCTATATGGTAGATAGTAGGTATGTTATACCATATAGATCAATATTTTTCCTTTCATTGTTAGACTTTTTTAAAAGATCAGTGAGCTAACAGAAAGCATTCAGCATACAAGCCAATAAACATAATAAATCACATGATTCTCTCATGCAAAAAGCCTTTGACAAAATCCACATGCCTTTATAAAAAAGTTCTAGAAGAGAGTAGGACCACAGCGAGCAAACTTCAACATAATAAAGGCTGTATGTGGTGACAAACCCACACCCAGCCTCATCCTTGATGGAGAAAAACTTGAAACAATCCCATTAAAATCTGTAAGAAGTCAGGACTACCAACTGTCTGCACTTCTTTACATTACAGTTCTCAAAACACCAGCAGGAGCAATGAGGAGACACAGAGAGAGAGAGCTGCATAGGAAAGAAGAACTCATTCCCTATGTGCAGACGATAAGAGAGTAGACATGAAAGCTCCCCAAAAGTCCACCGGAAAAGTTTTAAGAGCAACCAACAGTTTACAAAGTGGCAGGATACAAAGTTAACTTGTAAATATCATTAGCCTTTCTTTACATCAGCCACAACCATGCTGAAAAAGGTAATCATGGGCACCCCATCACAAGAGCCTCAAAGAAACACTCTATCCAGGAATCAGCCAACCACGGAGGAAGACGGCCTCTGCAATTAAAACCTCAAATCTCTGGAAAGGAGAGGTGAGGCAGACACTAGAACATGGAAACAACCTTCCTGAAACTGACCTTCTGAGCGGCCAGAGGTGTGGACGTTCCTGAGCTCTCTGGGCAGCTGTCAGTCGGCCTCCCACGAGGGGCGCTCACATCAGCAGCCAGAGAATCCTGGCCACCTCTGGTCAGCTAACTCCCCAGCTTGTTTCCAGCGCTCCCGCCAATGGCCTGGGCAGCCGCCATGCCAGCTACTCCTCCTCGGCACCCCAATGCCAATGGCTTTCAGCTTCCCTCATCTGCTTTGCCTCTGTAGTGTACCACGGCTGAACCCCCAGAGTGGCATATGCGGGAGGTGACAGCCACCATTTTCAGCCCAGGAGGAGTCCAAGGGGCAGGAAGGCCAGGAGGAACTATGCTGTCTGCCCAACATGGTGGCTAAATAAAGCTGAAGTGTTAGCTGCATTGTGATGTTTATGTGGTGGCCGTGTGCCCTGGCTTCTCATCCTCGGGGGTTATCCTCACGCTTTCGGCCTAAACCACCCTAACCCCAGCCCTTGCCTGCCTTCAGCTTAGTCACCTCTCCTGACACGACCACCGTGGACAGTGCCCGCTGCTGGTCTGCATGCCATGCTCTAGTTACAGCTCTCCCCTGTCTGTGTCCTCCATGAGACTGCAGCTGGTCACACTCGAACCTCCCACGGTCCCTAGTGCATGGCCTGGGACGCAGACATACTGACCGGCGCAAATCTTGCCTCCCAGAAGCCTGCGGCTCCCCCAGTGCTCTCCTCCATTCAGACCTCAGACAGCCCGGACAAACTGCAAGTGCGAGTTCTAACACCCCTTGACCTTAACTTGCTTTTTCTCTTCTCAGGACCCTCTTCCCGGAAGCACACAGGAAAGCAAGAGCCATGTCCATGATCGCAGCTTTCTACAGCAGCAAGTCTATCCTCATCACAGGGGCCACTGGCTTCCTGGGCAAGGTGCTGATGGAGAAGCTGTTCCGTACCAGCCCCCACCTGAAAACCATTTACATCCTCGTGAGGCCCAAGGCCGGACAAAGCCTGCAGGAGAGGGTCTTCCAGATCCTCAACAGCAAGGTGGGTCCTGCGGGAGGGCAGTGTGATGGGCAGCACCTTGGAGCCGAGTGGCTGTGTCCATGCTCCCTTACAGCTCCGTAACAGACGGTTAGTGCTGACTAACGTGATGGGACCTAGAGTCGCGGCAGACAGGCCTCGGGCCTCTGTGAACAGGCATTTAGGTCGCCGGGACAATGCCTAATTACCTCAGTTAGGGTGTTTGAGGGGGGAAGCCCTCCGCAAGAGCGCTCTCGTCCGTTTGTGGGTACAGTGTGACCAATTCCTTCAGGCTAGCCCTACTGCCTTGACTTCCTGGCTACGGCAGAACCGTGAGCTAAAGCAAACCTTTCCTCCCACAAGCTGCTTTTGTTGGGGTGTTTTACCACAACAGCTATAAAAGAAACACAGAGGACTCCACACACAGGCTGGAGCACACAGAGGACAGGAAAATACACAACAGTGACACTGGCTGTCCCCAAAGACGGCACAGGTACTTAGGGCATCTCTAGGGCAGGAAAGGAAATCATCGTTTTCACGACTGGAAGCAGAAGTGTTCTTACTGTTCCTGTCTCCACTGTGAAACCTGCAGAGTCAGTGAAGGGAAGGCCAGGCTGGCAGAAGAGGCTCTCTAGAGGGCAGCCACAGATGCTGATAGCCCTGAGCATGTCTGAAGAGTTCCCAAGCTCAGTCCCCGCGCTGTCACTAACAGAGCTCTGGCGGCTCCCTTAGACTTTCTTCTCGTCTCATGGCTGCTGTCTAGCTGGCTGATGGAGCCACAAGTCTAAGCCCAGTCGCTACCCACCGTCAGGTTCGGCTCTCGGATTCGCACGGTGAACAGCACAGAACCGTAGAAAAGGCTCAGACGTGGCCCTCCCCATTCCTTCTCACACCAGAGAAGCGGCCAGCATGGAGCGCCTGCCATGGCTGCCCAAGCCTTCCACAAGTGCTTATCCACACAACAGCGCAAACAACAAAAGCTATTTCACAAGGGTGTATGAGAATTAAATGAGGTACCAATGCACAAAATAATATGGCATTGTGTAATACAAAGATATGATCAATGACCTCTGAGTTCCTTTACCCAGACAGGCTCTTTTGTTCATTTTCCTTAAAACCAGGTCATGGTTGCCTGAACCAGTTTCAAACCTTCATCAAAGATGCATATGTCCCCACACTCTGTCAGTTCACCATGGCTTCTGTAAGAGAGAAGAGCAGAAATGAATAGGTGACTTTTGAATCATTGTACCTGAGATGGAGTCCTGTTCCATCACTTAGAATGGCCTCAGGCTCAGAATGTACCTGCTCTACCTCCCAGGGGCTAGGACTCCAGGCCTGTGCCACCATGCCAGGCTCACTATAATCTTCACCTCCCCGAGTTCACAGACCTGTGCTGCATCTGTTCATGCCTGCAAGCTTTGCTTAGCTAGCCGAGTTACACGCAAGTACAGGCACACCAGCCTCTGGTTGACAGTCTTTAGACTCACACTGTGTGTGCGGCAGGAGGACAGAGACAGGGCAATCACCATTTGAGAGATGAGAAAATCAGACAAAGAAAGAAATGGTGGGCAGCAAGACCGGGCTGCATCTACTAAGAAATACCCTCGGTAGGACTTGAGAAGGCCCCTGGAGAAAATGACAGATGATGCAGACGTCCCTTACCTGCCTTCTGACTGGACGCTGGGAGGAGGCCTCTTTTCCATCACTGTGGCCAATGGCTCCTCCTGCTGCAGCTTCTGCAGCTTCTTCCTTGCGCCCTTCACTGCTCCGTGGTTGGGGAAGGTCCCTTTCTCCTTGTCTTTAGCAATGCATTCCTCTGTGTGCAGCAGAAGGTGGAAGCAGAGGCCTGTGCCTGTTTGGGGTCAGGTGTTCTTTGATCCTGGAAAGAAAAGGAAATCCCATGGTTAGAGCGTAGTGTATTTCAGTCTGTCCCAAGTGAAAGAGTGTGAAGGGATGATGGCACGTACAAGAGGGAATGGAAGCATTAGTAATAAGATCCCAGCCTGAAGTCCCGGACATTCAGCAAGCACACAGGCTGAGGGTCTGTTGCCAGCACTGGGCTACTGAGGGCGCCCTAAGAGAGCTTGTGCCACACGGGGTGTGTGGGGGAAGAGAGGAGAAGAGGGTAGGAAACAGGAGAGGGGGGAGAGGAGGGAAGAGAGGGGGAGAGGGGGAGGGAGGAAAGGGGGAGAGGGGGAGGGAGAGGAAGGGGAGAAGGGAAGGGGAGAGGGGAAGGGGGAAGAGAGGGGGAGGGGAGAGAAGGGAAGAGAGGGGGAGAGGGGAGGGAAGAGAGGGAAGAGAGGGAAGAGAGGGGGCAGAGAGGGGGAGGGAGAAAAGGGGGAGAGGAAAGGGAGAGGGGAAAGGAAGAGGGGGGAAGGGGGAGGGGAGAGAGGGGGGGAGAGGGAGAGGAAGAGGAGAGGGGAAGGAAGGGAGAAGAGGGAGAGGAGAGGGGAGAGGGAGGAGAGGGGAAGGAAGGGAGAAGAGGGAGAGGGAAGGGGAGGGGAGGAGAGGAGAGAGGAGGAGGAGGAGAGAGTCCATTTGGCAGTTTTGGGAAAGAAAAAGCAATGAATCAGAATGAGCCTCTTGCTTTCAAGGACCAGTTCAGTGACAGGTGTTATGCCGAGCACTGACTTGCGTACTCAATCTTAGAAATCCTGTGAAGTGTTTATTCTAGAGTCACAGATGAGAAATTAATCCCAGAAAACTGTGCTCTCCGCAAGGCGTGTGATCTGTGCCGGGGAAGTGGCACGGCTAGCTAGAACGTAGCTGTGAGGACCATGCGCCCTCTGAGGCGCACCTCCATCCCTCACAGCCTGCCTCCCTGGGAACAAAATCTACGAGGCAAAGTTGCTGCTGGAGTCAGGGTGCCTTCTAATTCAGCATGGTCCTGTCAGAGCCTGGAAGTAACCTCGGGTTGGCCTCCATCTTCCCACCCAACTCTGTCCTTGAGGTCCTCCGTGGAACCCCCTTGGGGACACAGAGTGAAAGGATGAGCAGTGAGGTGTGTGTCGCCCTTAGCACGGACTGTAGATGCTCATGTGCGCTCGAGTTCTGACAAGTGAAGTGTGCTCAAGACCAGCTTCTTACGTCTAGTCTCTGAGTCTCTAAGGCCAGGGAAGGTACAGTTCTGCGATTGGCAAGTTAAATGTGCAAAACAGGCCCAGGCAACTTTGAAACCTGCTCTGCTTAGGGGAGTAGTAAGGAGCCAAGGGGTGTGGCTGGCCCCCGCTGTGACAGAAGCAGCTCAGCACCTTCCACATCTTTACACAGCTGGCTCAGGCACCCACGCTTTGGTTCGGAACTGCTGGTTCGAAGCCGTCTACCCCTTCCAGGCAGTCCTAAGCACATGGTCACGCAACGGTCCAGAAACTAAGACCCCCCCAGACTGACCGTTCGCAGCCCATGGGATAAAGAGCAAAAAGTAAGGTCCTGATGGTTGTGGCGGGTGTGTGTGTGTGTGTGTGTGTGTGTGTGTGTTGTATGTGTGTGTGTCCGTGTGTGAATTGTATGTGTGACTGTATTTTGGACTCACACTTGCTTGCACCTGGACTAGAGCTGACAGCACACCCCTGTGCTCTAAGCCCACCGTGTACCCTTTGGCTAAAGACCTCCCCATTTTCCGGCTCAGAGTCGAAGTCCTAACCACACCAGCACGGTGTGAAGAGGGCTCAGCAGAGAGCAAAGGCTCCCGCTGACGGATGTTGTCAGTGACGCCCAGAAGACAAAGCCCACACCTGGATGCCTCTCACACCAGCGGCTTGGTCTCCGTCACTGCGGCTGTGAGCTGGTACAGAAGTGCTGCACAGCTGGTGTGCCTGCTGTCCCAGCCCTGCTTTCTGGAGCCAGCGGCCACACGCCTCAGACACACTCACAGTGAGGAAGAGCCATCAGGACTCAGCGGGCTACAAACTCAGTCACCACAAGGGAAAGCGTAAACACTTCATGGAGACTTACACATCTCCCGTACAGCGGAAAGACCTGTCGTGGAGAACACCTTGACCGTGAGAGCAAACATTTAGCTTGCTCATGACTGATCAAGGTTAGAACTGCTAAAGGCCTTCTCCAAGAGCCAAAATGACTGTTGTTGAGACTGACCCTGCTGACATTTTATATCCTTTTCTGTCCACACTGAGGACCGGCCAGCTTCCTAGCTGTCTTCAGAACTGTGGTGACACGGCCCACAGGCCACTCCTGCATATAGAAACGGGGACTCGGGCACAGAAGCGTGGCACCTGCTGGCTGCCTGTGGGGTTGTGCCCTTCCCTACCCCTCACCCGGCTCCAAGGACGTCTTTAATACTCGTTTGCCTGATGCCAATGGAATACGATTTCTCTGACTACTGGATTTTGTTTTGATTTGAGGCCGGGTCTCATGCTGTCCAAGCTGGCCTCACACTGGCTCAGTAGAAAAGATGGCCTTAAACTCGAGTGTGGGATTACACGTGTGCACCATGCGATGCTTCATCGTCGTTTCATGCGATGCTGTGCATCAAATGCACAAAAGTCTTGTGCACGGTAGGCGAGCCTTCTGTCAGCCGAGCTGCAGCCAAAGCCCAGATTTAAGGTTTTATTACTCAACAAGCCGGCCTAGTTGCACAGTCTTCCGAGTGTGGGGCAGAGGGAGCCTTAGGTTTAAAAATCACAGACTTTCTCTGCTCTTAACAGTTCCAGACATTCATCTCCATGAAAATTCCATCTTCTTAGTAGAGGTCAGAAACAAGATTATTGTCACTAAAATTTTGTTTTCAAGACAATAGAAAATATACTTTTGATCTAAGAATCGAGGTGTGGTGGGGAAGGCAGAGAATCAGCCCACTGAGCAAATGCAGGACTAAAAATGCTGTGTTCACCTCTTCCCCCTTTGTGTATAAATTAGCACTCTAAAAAAGTAATTAACATCCAGAGAAATAGCACATAAGCTCATGCTACCCTCCACATTAAGTGCTGTTGACATCAGAGAAAGGGCACAGAAAATGTCTGTTTCTGCAGATCACGTTTGCCTGATACTTTATTTTCGAATCACATTTTTTGCTTCCATCTTTGTAACTGAGCCCATTAGGCAAAGCGGTAATTTCGTGTTGTTTGCTAAAGGCTGGTCACCCTGCCCTGAAAACCATTATTTCTCATACAAAAAGTAGACACGGTCCCCATGAATAAATATGAAAATGTTCTAACGGGCATAGGGAGTGAGGCCAGAAGGAGGTGACTTAGCTGTGCTTTCTATCACTGGAATGAACACCACCACCAAAAGCAACTCAGGAGGAAGGGTTCCTTCTACCTCCACACTACCGTCTCTCCCTGAGGGAGTCAGGACAGGAGCTCAGGCAGGGCAGGAGCCTAGAGCTAGAGGCCATGGAGGGTGCTGCTCCCCAGCTTCTCCCTGTGGCTTGCTCCCTGTGGCTTGCTCCCTGTGGCTTGCTCAGCTGCTTTCTCACAGAAGCAGGACCACAGCCCAGGAGTGGTACCATCCGCAATAGGTGGGCCCTCCCCATCAATCACTGATTAAGAGAATGCCCTTCAGGTCGGCCTACAGCCTTATCTTGGGATGGGATTTTCTCAGCTGAGGCTCGCTCCTCAGATGACTCCAGATGCCATAGAATCAGCCAGCACAGTGATTTTCACCCCTTCATCTCCAAGGCAAGGTTCAGGATATGCACCCAACTGATGACTAGGCACACCTTTTTCAGATGCTCCTAGAGTTAGGATCCAAATGATACCAAATGCATGAAATGAAGCGGAGGGCTCTTGGCTACAGAGACACCTTCATTGAAAAGACTACTGTTTGTGCAAACCAGATTCTCAGTGCTAACTCAGAAGACTCCCGGGCAAGGCAGGGCTCTGTGATGTCGTGAGGCACACGGTGTGTGGATTTCTGTTTCAGCTGTTTGAGAAAGTCAAGGAAGTCTGTCCAAACGTGCATGAGAAGATCAGGCCCATTTCTGCAGACCTCAACCAGCGCGACTTCGCCATCAGCAAGGAGGACATGCAGGAGCTGCTGTCCTGCACCAACATCATCTTCCACTGTGCAGCCACAGTGCGCTTCGATGCGCGCCTCAGGTGGGCCTGCGGCCTGTCCGTCTCTCCATCTCTACATACCTTCTCTCTCTCTTCATCAGCTCTGTCTCGCTATCTCTTTTCCTTCTTTCCTCTCTCCTCCTTTTCCTCTCTGCCTCTCTTCTCTCCCTGCTTCCCTCTCTCCTCTCTGTCTCTTTCTCTTCTCTCCAATGAGAAGTTTAATAAGAAACTATAAAGAATCTCCGGAATGTCTCCATGTGCCCGTGCAGAGGGGACAGTGTATTTTGGGGTGCGCACACTCAGGTTTCTACCTGCTTCTGCAGTTTTGCAGACTTGGGCTCAACTGCAAAGAAAGGCTTTCCCGTTGGAGCATTCTGTGCCCGGCGAGTGCTGCTGGAGTGACAGTAGGCATTGCTCATTTTTCGTTATTTTTTGATGACTTGAAAGTTTGGCATGTCTAAGTGCTTATTGATATTTTATTATTTTTGAAATGTCTATTCATCTTGCTTTCTTATTTTGAACTGATTTTTTGTGATTTCAAGATGATGTGGAAGCTTCCACATATTAACTTTATCTTCTATATTTCAATTTACCTTTGTCTTTTTACTGTTAGTTTTCCTTGAATTATTGTTGTTTTGTTTTTACAGGTAGGTCTGTGATCCATTTGAAGTGTTTTTATTAGTTCATTCATTAACTTATTATTTATTCATTTATTTTGAAAAAGGATCTCTTACATAGCCTTGGCTGTCCTGGAATTCACTACATAGACCAGACAGGCCAAGAGTTTACAGACATCTGCCTGCCTCTGCCTGAGTGCCGAGATCAAAGGCGTGTGCCGCCACACCCGGCCTGTTTTCAGTGCTTTTTCTAACTGTGAAGAGGGTCAGGGAAATTCTACAGAAACAGTGAAGAAAGTGTGAGGACGGCAGCTTTTCTTTTCTCTACGGATGGTAGTTCTCAGTGCTTATCAAAGGGTTTACTTTTCAGTCTATTTGAGGTAAAAAACTCTTGTCCTAAGCTACTAAAACTGCTTCTGCCATTGATCAAGCTTTCTCAGAAAACATCGCACCATTTTAAAATCCAATTCTGATTAGGCCATGAATATTCACAGGAAACTTTTAAAACAGAAATACTTTGCTTATTTTCATGTGGTGCCACTTAAATAAATTTAGCATATTTTTCCAAGTTATCTTCATATAGATTCACTTAGAAAAAGTTAAGACTTTTTTTTTCTCTATTTAAGGAATTATTAAAGCAAGAATTTTATAATCCAAATTATGTTTGCTTGCGCAGTCATCAACTCTGCTGACCCCCTAAGCTATTCCACAGTAAAGAATTACAAAGTTAAAGAAAGGAATGCTTTAAAGTTTTGTACTTTGCTGAAAATTCTATAAAACATTAATTTGTTTTTATGTTTTACTATTTTTGTTGAGAAAAACTTAACATTTTAAAACTTCTTTTCATTTGATTCATCTTTCCCCTTGCTCCATTTTATCAGACCCACGAAACTGATGATCCACTTATGATCTCAGTCCAGACGCCCACTGGAATGTGCCCTTCAGGCTGCTGTTCTCTGGGTTTATTTAGATGTAGAAGCCTATGTTAGCATTTTGCCATGATTTTTAGTTGGGTTTTATTCTTTTAGTGGTCATTTATGGAAGCCAGTTAATAAATTCAAAGGATCAAGTTTTTCTCTTGTTTTACTAATTAAAATCATGTAACCTCTAGACACAGTATTTAGTGCTTCAGTGTCTGGGACTAAGGACTCCACACACACCACAATTTCAAGTGTCAGGGGACCATGAAGCCGTGGATCCACCTTTCCCTTCCTTGTCTCAGGATATGCCCCCAAACCTCACCGTTTACCGTTTACTGAAGTAGCTCTAGCCGCTGCACACAGCCCAAAGGCGGATCTAGCAGCCTGGAGCAGCCCAGGCACAGTGTGGTCGAGAGTTGCTGTGGGTCCTTTCGGTGGGTGCCAGGCATGGGGCGCCTGCGGCGGGGCAGGGTCTGAGTGCTCCCTTCTGCTTCTCCTCTGCAGAGAAGCTGTGCAGCTCAATGTCACCGCCACCCAGCAGCTCCTGCTAATGGCCAGCCAGATGCCCAAGCTGGAGGCCTTCGTCCACATCTCTACCGCCTTCTCCAACTGCAACCTGAGCCACATAGATGAGGTCATCTACCCGTGTCCTGTGGAGCCCAGGAAGATCATCGACTCCATGGAGTGAGTCGGGTGGGCTCGGGACTGGGCAGCAGCGGGTGGCGCCCTCGGTCTCTCTGCACTGGCTAGTGAAGTTAAGGCATAGGACACTGTGAAAGCAAAGCGCTTTGGGTAATGCTCTACCTCTCTCTGCTAGCTCCTTCTTCAAAAGAGAAATAGGCCCTCGCAGGGAAGGCAGGCGGAAACTTCGTGTGTGTGTGTGTGTGTGTGTGTGTGTGTGTGTGTACTAGGAATTGATGTACAGGACCCGGAGCCAGGGCTTTGTGCGTGGCGAGCATATTCTCAGCCCTGAAAAGCCCCCAGGAAATGTCTGTCAGGCACTGGGCTGTGGATGCGCTCCTCACCCCTTAGATCACCAGATGATAAAGCATCTGGGAGAGAAGACAGGGAGCTGGCCCAAGATGGGTTCAAGTCATGGCTGGTAGCTCTCGCTAGCTGTGGAAATCGTTCTACAATTGTTTTAGCCTTTCTGACCCCCATGGCCCTCTTTTGTTACTTTGCCTGTTGCTCTGATAATATACCCTGACAAAAGCAACCTTTGGGGAAAGGGCTGATTTGGACTCACAGTTCTAGGGCACAGTCTGCCATGACAGAACAGCCATGGCTGCAGGAGAGAAGTGGCCACACTGACTCTGCCAGGGAATCATTTCATGCAATACTGTAGTTGAATTTAAAATCTGCTGCTTTTTAAAAGCATCTAGCTACATGTTCAGAATGCTTCAGAATCCTTAAGCTTGCTGACATAGCTGCTTTGTCTGTGGAGACACTGACATCTTCAAAGTTAAACTACGGGTTTAAGACCTGAGGAAGGAGACAGCACTGGGCTATCCTGAATGCCTGAGACAGCTTGGAGGAGGAGTCCCTGAGCTGGGAGGGGCGGGGCGGACACCCCTGAGCCGGGGCAGGGGAGGGCATACAGTGCTGGCTTGCTCTCGGACATGGGCTTTGCACTCATACACGTGTTCCGTGGACACACTAATGAGACTTCCTGTAGGAGCAAGACAGGGGCCATATGTGATGCTGCAAATGACATATCCGTGGAAATGACAAAGTATCTGGGTGGAGAAAGCAAGCTTTTAACTAAGGGAGGAGGAGGCTTGTCCTTGTGACCCTGGGATGGTTCTGTCTTCTGGAATTCAAGCGGAAGGTGGACGCTTTCTTTGGCTGTTCCATGTCGTCTTCTTGCTCTGCTGGGCAGTGCTGTTGCTAGAATATTTCTCTCTCCTGCAGGTGGTTGGATGACGCCATCATAGACGAGATCACCCCCAAGCTGATTGGGGACCGGCCCAACACCTACACCTACACCAAAGCCTTGGGAGAGATCGTGGTACAGCAGGAGAGCGGAAACCTGAATGTGGCCATTGTCAGGCCATCCATAGTGGGAGCAACCTGGCAGGAGCCATTCCCGGTGAGCCCAGCGCTTTCTGCCTTGCTTCAAGCCAGTGCCTTCAAACAAGCTTCTTTCTGGTGTCCTCCTCTTCTAAAACCCCCTCTTCCTCCTGCTCGTACTTTCCCCCTTCCTCTTCCTCCTCACACTTTCTTCTCTTACATTCTCCTCCTCTTCCTCCTTCCTTACATCCTTTTTGCTCCCCCTTCTTTCTCCTTCTCGTCCTTTCTTCTTCATGTTCTTTATGTTTTTATTCACTTTACATACTTGTTGTATCCACACCCCTCCTTCCTCTTCCCCCCTTTCCCATCCAAACCAGATTATCAAATTGTATCGGGATTGAGCAATGTCCTCTTCCTGTGTCCTCTGTTCTTTACAACCGATTAGTGTTACGATGGGTGTGTGGGTGCGTACACATGCACACGCACACACCCATACACTTCCCCCCACGCACAAACAGACCGGACTGCCAAGGGTAACAGTCTTTTGAAATGAGTAACTGACAGAGATCTTTCTTTCCAGGGTTGGGTGGATAACTTAAACGGCCCCAGCGGACTCATTGTTGCGGTAGGTACCGATGAGAAAGCAACCCCGAGACAAAGGACGGTGACAGACACCTTAGTGTTGACTCATGCTTCCTCGATGCCCACATGTATGCGGGCACGAGGGCGGTGGCCTGTCTGGAGTTGCTGCTCTACAGGTGAAGGCAGCAGGGGCTGCAGTTCTGAGGCAGAGGTCTCTGCCGTGGAGGGGTTTTCTTCCCACTGCTTTAGTAATGCAGCCAGTCAGGGATGCAGTAAAGGTGCCAGCCCCAGCGGGCACAGTGCCTGGTCCAGCACCCCTGAAGCCCTGAGTTTGAGTGCTTTGTAAGCTGAGTGTGCGTGCCAGCTCACACCTGCAATCCCAAACCCCAGAGGGGGGGCAGAAGAATGTCCAAGGCGTGCCCATCTCAAAAAACAAAACCAACAACCCAAGTTATCCCAAAGACTACGGAACCCTTGACACTGAAATACACAAGCCTGTGGGTGTGTCTTGTCTGACCTTTGATGGCTTCCATTCGCTTCTCCACGACAGTTTAGACGGGGCTAAACATCAATTAAACGGGCCAGGGGCAGTGCAGTTTTATTACAGTGCACCCCAGCACACTAACTGAACCCCACCCATGCCACATATGTTCAGTAGGCAAAGAACAGCAGCTGGTTTACACACGCGCACACACATGCCTGTGCCCGCCCGCCTGCGGCCCTCACAGAAATGAAGAGGCCTAGTGACCGACTCCCACACAGAGGCCAGTCCTAGCTGGGGTTTTGCATCTGGTTTCTGTCTTACGCTCCGTCTGTCCCGAGCAGACTGGGAAAGGATTTCTTCGCTCCATAAAGGCGACTCCCATGGCGGTGGCAGATGTGATTCCCGTTGACACGGTCGTCAACCTCACCATAGCCGTGGGGTGGTACACGGCGGTGCACAGGTAAGCACGAGCACACACGCTTTTGAGGAGGCGAAGGCCACGTCAGCCACACTCAGCCCGAGGGAGAAGTGATGGGCCAGTGTGTCGGGATTCCTAACAGACCCCGTGGAGGCTGAGGCGTGTTGACACTGACACCTGGCCATGGGGTAATCTGCTCTTACACCGCCTGCCGTGGGAGTTTTGGAAAGGGTTTTCTATTCAGCATCTTAAAATAGTGTTGATGGATGAAAGGGCAGCACAGGTTACTTCATTGAGCTGTAGCTTAGTTGCTCATAAATGCCAGATGAGACAGGAAATCCGGTGACTCAAAGAAAAGGTGTGCATGGGGCACCGCTAGTGAGTGACCCCGTGAACAAGACTTCTCTCGCGTGAACTCACGCATGTGTGCGCCACAGGTCATACCTATTTGACACAGATGTGTGCACACTTTTTAAAGACTCTGAAAGCGCTGTGCGCTTACAGATGTGCAGGAACAGCAGAGCCAGCCTCTGTGCTCCTGTCCTTTCTCCTCCATTAGTGTCAGTTTCGTTGTACTTACTTACCTTTGACCTTATCTTCCAGACCTAAATCAACATTAATCTACCATTCCACATCTGGTAATCTCAATCCATGTAACTGGTATAAGATGGGTAAGTACTTTAACTCTGTAAGTGCCTAACTACCTGTCCTACCCAGGGGAAAACTGAGCATGTCCTGCAGCCAGGAACAGGTGGGGAGGGAGCCAAGAGAGAAAAATCTCTGCAATCTGTAAATGTGTTGCAGTTAACCAGAAAGCACAGTGATAGGAGAAAATGGTCTGTGAGAACACGCACAGTCACATGGAATAAAAGTTTGAAAGGAGGGTTATAAAAAACAAAGTTGGCAAAGGTTAACAGAGAACATCAATCAGCACGCCCCCCCCCCCCCGCCCCGTGCCCTCCCAGCAGCCTTCCCGTTCTGCGCTTCTGAGCAGGTGGGTGAGCAGTGGCCAGCTGAGCTCACAGTCCAGCTGTTCCAGCTGTTCCCCAGCATCGGCAGGGCCCCCCCGTCTGCAGCTGCCTCCTAACTGTGGGGTGCCTGCAGCCCTAAAGTGCTTTGCTGGTGACAGATCTCTTGCTAGGTCTGCCTAGCCCAACGGTATACAAATTCGCTGACTTGGAAGTTGCTTTTCTTACTAACATCTGAGATTTTACACACTAGCCATTGTGTTGATCTGACTCCCATTCAGAGCACACACAGTTATTTGTATTTGCAAAGATGCAAACACAAAATTATCTTCATAGATATTTCTTCTATGTTCTTTTCTTCATAAATCCAGTTTCTTACATATTTAAATCAGAATTGATTTCAGAATAGTAAGATATTTGTTTTTGCATCAGTAATGGAGGTTATCTAAGACCCCACCCACATAAGTGGGTATTAACACACGCAAATAAACTGTTGTGAACTCGGGGCTGGACAGAGGGCCCACAGCTAAGATCACAGCGGGTCCGGTCTGGTGGCTGACCCTGCCTGTCACCCCAGCTCCAGGGGACAGGACACCTGTGGGCGTCTACAAGCGCCTGCACTCAAGTGCACACACCCATACAAGCATGTCCACACAATGAAAAACAAGATCGTTTCTGAGAAGAGCCCAGAGGATGCAGTACTTCCTACAGTTCTCTTGATGATTTAAAAAGAATCTAGGGTGCTCAACTCACCAGAGGCCCAGAGACAGTGAATGAGCTTCTTAGATTCATAACTGTGTTCCCTGAAATAAAAACGCCTTGTCATCTGTCTCTCTTCTGGGTGAACGACCATTCCCCTACTAATTTATAAAAGAAAATATAAGTAACTGTTGAAGATAAAACTAAAGCCAGAGTTCTTGATCAAAGAACTTAGGCAGCTTTAAGGAAACCTGTGTGTGGTTACAGAAGCTCGCAGCCTCTGCTTTAGGAAACCCATACTACAGTCCAGTGGCTGTGGCTGTCACCGTGACCAAGGCAGTTCTTACGATGAAAGCATTTAACTGGCACCGGTTTACAGTGTCAGAGGCTTGGTCCACTGTCGCCATGGGAGAAGCATGGCAGCAGGCATGGTAGGCATGGTCCAGGAAGTAGTTAAGCACTACGTCCAGGAAGTAGTTAAGCGTGCAATGAGAGGGAGGGAGAGGGACCTTGGCCTGGCTTGCAGGGCTTTGGAACCCTCCCAGCCGCCCCCAGTGACATACTTTCTGCAACAGTGCCACACGTATCCCAACAAGGACACCCAGTCCTTCCAGCCCTCGAAGAGTGCTGCTTCCAGGTGACCCAGCATTCACATACGTGAGCCTAGGGGCCGTTCTCATTCACACCGCACGTCTGCTCAGTACCCAAGACGCTTGGGAATGAACGTAAACACCCAATGCGGACAGCTTGAGGAGGGCAGCTCGGCTGCCCTCCACTGAGCTACACGGCAACTCTCCATGCCTTCCCGTCTGGACAGCAGTGCTGCAGAGCAGCCAGGCCCTGCGGCCGCCAACTGCTACACACACATGCTTTCCTTCCCCTCACACATGCTTGGGCGCTCATGTTCTTCATCCGGGGCCAAGCGGCTACATGTGAAGCCTAATGTAGTAGGATATCATTATCCACTGATTCAAGTTCCTTTAATTTGAAACTCACTCGTTTCATAACAGGGCTATTAGAAGTGATCCGAATGCTTCTAACTGGAACCATTAGCAAAGTCACCATAGGCTCGACATTTGTTTCAAGTGACAGCTGGGTGGATGGACACGCAACATCCGTTTATTTGTCTCCATTAGTGCCCTTCAAAAAGATTCATCTCTCCATAGTTTCCTTTTTTTATATTAGTCACTTTGTATCCCAGCTGCATCCCCCTCTCCTCCCCTCCCAAGAGTTCAAGGCCAGCCCTGGCGTACACAGTTTCACGACTACCAGAGCTGCATAGGGAGGTCACACACCCATTAGCAGTCGCACTTCTCGTGTGCGGGCGTTCACAGCCTCACGTCCTCAGACGCACAGCACAGCAGCAGACACTGAAAACTTGACCACTCTGGGATTTAGCACTTTCTCCTTTTGTTCCAGGATTACAGGTCTTGGCGACCATGGAAAAGATCCCATTTGAGAGTGCTTTCAGAAGGCCGAACGCTGACTTTACCACCAACAGCTTCACCACGCAGTACTGGAACGCTGTCAGCCACCGCGCCCCCGCCATCATCTATGATTTCTACCTGAGGCTGACCGGGAGGAAACCCAGGTGAGAGGTGCAGCAGCGTTCAGAGGTCGCTGCACAGTCCTCCCTGCGGCTGAGGACTGAGCAAGACAATGCCTCTTGTTAGACACACACACACACAGATAGGATACGCCAGCCTCACTCACTGGGTGCAGCTGTGTGGCCACACTGCAGCAAGGACTCACGATGGTCACATTTTCACAGTTCAGCTCAGCTCCCAGCTCTCAGCTGTCAGCTCCCAGCTCTCAGCTCTCAGCTCACAGCTCCCAGGTCCCAGGTCACTGCTCTCGGCTCACCTCACAGATCAGTTCACAGCTCGGCTCCCAGCTATCAGATCAGCTCCCGGCTCTCGGCTCATGCTTTCTCCACCGAAAGAGGAGCAGGGGCAGAAGCGGCAGGGTAACACGGTGGGTCTCAGCGTGGGTCACGAGCCCTGGGGTGGCACGTCAGACCCTTACATTGCAGCTGGCAGCGGTAGCAGACTGCAGTTGTGCAGTGATTTTACGGTGGGGTCGCGTGTGAAGAGCTGTGTTAACGGAGCACAGCAACAGGAACTGTGAGAACACTAGGGTAGCAGGAAGGGACCAAAGAAGTGCAGGAAGCCTCTGCCACTACCACAAACTAGGGTTCTAACCCCGAGGGAGGCCAGGGGCCAAAGCCAGGCCAGCTGTCACCACCCAGCAGTGACAAGCACATCCCGTGACCTCCACAACCCACTAATCTCAAGCCGAACAGAGCAGGACTGGCCCTGCACACCCCTTTCTGAGTGGGAGGCCTTTCTGACACACCAGCATTCCCTGTACTAGCACAGGAAACTGGGACATGAGGCCATGTGCCTCACCTAGCTTTGCTCAACCACGTGAGGAGTCACTGTATGTGGAAAAACATCTGTGCAAATTTTATCCACTATAGATGGGAGGAGAGAACCACAGGCAGAAATTCTAAGTCATTCAGGTTAGGTTGGTTGAAGGGTTAGGAATGCCAGGATAACGCAAGGTTTGCTGAGTAAGAGAAAAGCAGAAGACAAAAAATTCAATTTACAATTCGTAAGAAACCAAACCATACTGGACTGGGCAATGGGCTGCTGTTTTTCTGTGACATGAGGGTTTGTTTGTTCATATTGGCTGTGTGCACACTCGCACTGCACAGGCGTGGAGGTCAGAGGACACCTTGGCGAGGAAGGCTGGGTCTCTCTACCA